CTTTCTAGAAGAGTGGTGTTGTTGTGAATTTGTTTCGTGTTGCCTGGTTGGCGTTGCTGGCCGGGGCGTCAGAGGGAGGCGGCCAAATGCGTGCCGCAGTGACGCCGACGCGTCTCAACGACTCGCGTCTTCAGCCGCTCTCGGTTCGAGTCCGGCATCCGCGCCTCTTCGACCTGCTAACCCGGTTCGCACCGGCCTCCGTCGCCGTCGACCGCTACGTCACGCCCAGTTGGCTGCCGCTCGGTCTGCTTGGCAACGCCGTCCTCCTCGCCCTTCTCGCCTCCCTCTTGCCCCGCCACGTTTCGCTCTTTCGCCTCTTCCGTCGCCGACGCGATTCGACCATCTTGCTCGACCCCGACTCGAGCCAATCCGACGTCGACGTTGACGTTGACGTTGACGTCGACGCTGAGACCGGACTCTCACCGACGCCGTTTTCCAGTGCCTGGGCCGACCGACGGCGGTTGCAACAGCAACAGCAACAGCAACAGCAACAGCAACAGCGACGCCAACGGCGACGGCGACGGCAAGGGCGAGCGCGAGCGCAATGCCGACGCCGACGCCGACAGTTGTTCGACCTGCCGCCCACCCTCTGGCCACTCTCGTCGGGACAGCACGTCTGTCTCGTCTGGCTGGCCGGACTGCATCTCACCTTTTGTCTCTTCGTCAGTCTGGTCGACTTGGACACGGCCTGGGACACCGGTTGCCTGGCAACCAGCCAACTTGTCTGTCCTCTCGTGCGTGGCCTGCTTGCCGGTTTGCGGGTTGTCATCGCCGGCCTGGCCGGCCTTCTTGGACTCGAGACGCTGGCCGGTTTGACGCCGGCTCGTGGCTCGCGGCCTCCGAAGCGACGTCTCTTCTGCCTCGTCGCCGTCGCCGTCGCCGTCTCTGGCCTCGCGGGACTCGGTCAACTCGTCTTTTGGCGCGTCGACTATTACGAGACGGCCGATCTGCTCGCCGTCGGCCTTCCCAGCTCGACGATGCCAACGGCGACGGCGACGGCGACGGCGACGGCGACGTTGATACAGTTGCGCGAGCAGGTGCGTCGGCAACAGGCTGGGCTTTGGGAGCCGATCGCGCGCTGCGAGACGCCGTTGGGCGGCGGCTACCGCTTGGCGACCGGCCAGTCGACGTCCGGCGACCTCGCCTTTACAGACCAGACAGGCCGACTCGCCGTCGCCTACGCCGCCTACGCGTGGACGATGGCTTTCGCCGTGGAGACGCTGCTCGTGTTGGTCAATCTGGCCGCGGGCCTTCGCGTCCTCCAGCACCGACTCCTCACAGCCACCACCTCCCGGTCGTCCGATTGGCTAATGCCGACGCCAACGTCGACGCCAATGTCGACGCCAATGTCGACGCCGACCGAGAGGCCGCAAGGCTGGCACGAGGCTTATCTGCCGGCTTGCATCTGCCTGACGGACGGGCTGTGTCGTCTGCCGCACAGCCTCCTCGAACTGCTCTCGCCGCTGGCCAGACCAGGCCGCGACTCGACCACAGACGCGGAGGCAAGTTGCTTCGCTCGGTCGCAAAACTTTCTAGCATGGACGTGTGTCGACCTCGTTGTCGCAACATAGTCTTGTTGTCAAGACGACTTGGTAGAACGTATCTAGTCAGAAATCGTCCGCCATGGTAGTTGTCATAATTTAAGAATGTACCAAGTCCCCTGTCCAAAGCTGGGAATGACGACAACTACTATGGCAGACGATTTCGGACTAAGTACGTTCTATTAAATCGCCCTGACAACAAGACCAAGTTGCGACCACGAGGTCAACCCATTTCCTAGATAGGATAATTGAAGATATGAAGACCAAGATGTTGTGGCCTCTGGTATGATCGCAGTCTCTTTTCGATTTATAGAAGTGGGTTGACCTTGTTGCCGCAACTTGGTCTGGTTGTCATGGCGATTTAGTAGAAGGCACCTAGCCCGAAATCGTCTGCCAAAGTAGTTGTCGTCATTCCCAGCATCGGACAGGGGATTTGGTACATTCTCAAATTATGACAACTACTATGGCAGACGATTTCGGGCTAGGTACGTTCTATTAAATCGCCATGACCACCAGACCAAGTTGCGACAACGAGGTTAACTCACTTCTATAAATCGAAAGGAGACTGCGATCATACCAGAGGCCACCACATCTTGGTCTTCATATCTTTGTAGAATGGGTTCAACAGAAACTGTTAAACCATGCGCTCTGATCGTCTCATCCTGTGTTCGGCTTTAAGGTAGAATGTCCACTGTTGACTTCGCCCTTATTTAGACTCAATGTGTGTGTGTGTGTGTGTGTGTGTGTGTGTCTATATGAGGGAGAGAGAATGAGTGATGAATAGGCTACAAGATGGATTCCACCAGAAGAGGAGAGATTAGTGTAAAATGGTTTGCCCAACACTATCACTCGAAATGGAAGTAAGCTCGACAATTATGAAACAAGAGATTCTTCGAAACCCAACTTTTCTTCCAAATTCTTTATCCCAGAATTTCACATCTGCCAATCATGAGCTTCTGATGATTATACACAGTATTCCTATCTTCATTCTCAAGTTGTAATGAGACACAAAATTGACTATTAGTCCAGCATATGACTTCTTTCGGAACAATTTCCTCTTGAGTGTTCCAGTAGAGCGAATGACCTCCACATCCCCATGAGAGCCAAACGCTCCTCTTCCACCACATTCATTGTGAACTTGATTCTTTCGTCAATCCAGATCATAAACGTCAGGAAATCCCCCAATTTTTCTATTCCATGCCAGGTACTGCATAAGAACTCTTGGTTGCAGCGATGACGTTTTGAAATTCTCTTCTAATTTATTCATGTATGCATTTGCTAATAGAGGTGAGAGCGGCGATCCTATAGTAAGTACAAATATCTTTTCATATATTTATTTATTTATTTATTTATTTATTTATTTATTTATTTAT